TTTAAAATGTTGATTTGGATAAAAAATTATGAAGTTTGACTGTAAATTGGCCATAGTTGACTTTTCCCCCAATATAGTTGATTTTTAGGTCAACTGTTCAATTGACTGAGCAAAAGTGTGATCCAAAGCTTGAAACTTGACATGAGTGATATTGAGGATCCATAATGATCCATTAAATTCATATGGGGCATTGGAAGTTCAAATATCCTTGTGAAATCTCAAACCCTAATTTTGGTCATCAATGCTTAAGGAGGTGTTTTGAGCTTGATCAACCCTAATGCAGTCTTGAGCCAAAGGAGATCTTGTGAGTAAATTCTTGATAAGTGAGAGGGCAAATTTTGGGGTACAACAGAATGGATCTAAACCCCATGTATCCATTTCAATTTTGGGATGGTCATCACAATTTCTTGGTTGTGAAGGTACTTCTTGTCCAAACCAAACTGAATTTTGACCCTATATGTTTGATGCATTTCTACAATATGAAAAGATATAATTGGTGTCGATGCACTCCAAACGTTACTACCATTGTCGACACAACGTGGGTATTCAGGGTATGGCCTCCAAATAAATTGTTACACGAAATTAAATAGTTAGAGTGAAATATATATCTCAGAATACGTAAGGATATTATACTTTTACAAACTTACATCTTGTGGATACATGTGGTCTAGATGATCTCGATATACAAGTAGATGACCACGGGGATTTCTTTTGTAGTCCATACCTCGTTGAGCAAATCTTGCAATTCCAAAATAAACATATGTGTTAAAATTACATGTATGAATTTAAATGCATAAGAATAATGCAATTATAAATAAAATTTACCTTATTGCATAAGGATAAGATGGGACAACCATACTCTCAAGAGCAATGAGTGGTATACACCAGAATGATCAAACGCTAAGTAGGAGAGCGCATCCTCCCATACTTCATGAGGTTGGTGAAGACAGTGAAGATGAACTTCATGAGGTCCAAATGCAAGATCTTTTTGGTGCTAGCAATGATGATGGCAATGAGGATCCCATCTATGTGCCTTCCCATGCCATAAATATGTAACCGATTAATTTGTACAATCCACCGGTACACATGTCAACTATATGTCTGGAGGAAGCTCAACCTACCTCGGTCTTTGGCAACATTACACCAAACCATATTAGTGACAACTTAGATATAGTAATGGAGTTTGAAAACAAGGAAGCATGTCTTCTTGCAATGCAACATTGGCATATATCTAATAATCTTGACTACTGGGTTTATAATCTGATGTGACAAGATATATTATCAAATGTAGGAATCCAACATGAAAATTCAAATGTAGAGCTTCCTTGCGTCAAAAGAGCTCAAAGTGGGTCATCAAAGAGCTCGATGGACCCCGTACATGCACAGTGACTTGTGTGTCACAAGACCATAGATAACTTGATTCAGAAATTATTAGTCAAAGCATCAGGGAACTTGTTAACACAAATACTTTGCTTAAGGTAAAGGTGATTATCGCCCATATAGGTGAAAAATATAGGTATATAATTTCGTACAGGAAAGCTTGGATTGTGAAGATTAAGGTCGTAGAATCGCTGTATGGAAATTGGGAGACGTCTTACAATGACCTTCCACAGTGGTTGTTGGTAATGCAAACCTATCTTCCTGGTACTATTATAGAGTTGCAAATGTTTCCTATGTTTTGTGAAGATGGAGCCCAATTGGGTCACAAGAGGATCTTTCATCGCCTTTTTTGGGATTTTCAACCATGTATTTGTGGTTTCAGTTTTTGTAAGCCTATTGTGCAGGTTGATGGAACATGGCTGTATGGAAAATATAAAGGGACTCTATTGATGGCTATGGCACAAGATGGGAACAATAACATTTTCCCAATAGTTTTCGCATTGGTTGAAGGTGAGACAAAGGATGGTTGGAGTTTCTTTCTTAGGAACTTGAGAATGCACGTCACACCGCAGGCCAATGTGTGTCTAATATCTTATAAACATGCATCGATTAAGAGTGCATATGATGATCCTGAAAATGGCTGGCAAAATCCTCCATCTTCACATGTATACTGCATAAGACGCATTGCATAAAACTTCATGCGTGAGTTTAGAGACAAGGAACTATGCAAAAAACTTATCAACATGGGTAACAATCTATATTTATTCTTACTACATGATATGCATTGACGAAGCCGGAATTTAATTACTATAGAGGCAAAATAAAAAGAGCAAATAGAGAGGCTATGAAGTGGATAGACAACATTCCCCAGGAGAAATGGGCAAGGTCGTATGACGGAGGACAACGCTGGGGGCACATGACAACTAATCTTGCCGAAACAATGAACTCGGTACTGAAGGCTACCCGGAACCTTCCAATCACTGCTTTGGTTTAGTCAACATACTATCGTCTGGGATCCATGTTTGGTAAATGAGGCCTTGCATGGACAAAATTATTGGCTTATGGTCAAACTTTCACTATTACCTGCAAAAAAGGAATGGATGAAGAAGTGAGTAAAGCTAGCAGTCATAATCTCATACAATTTTATCGGGAGAGCTTCCTTAACCTTCCACATGAGGAAAGAGAAGTCATAATGGATGAAGACGTGTTCAAGATTCTTCTGGTTTTAAAATCTACCAGGAAAGCTTCCTTAACCTTCCACATGAGGAAAACAGACCAGGATATGAAGGTGTTACTATTGGCCATGACAATACTATGCGAAGGAAGAAGAAAGGATGCCAAAATAGTACTCGATATAGAACCGAAATGGACTAAGTTGAAAAGGAAAAGAGAAGATGTGGGATTTGTCGCGAAATAGGCCATATGCGTAGTAAATGTCCAAATGCACAAGGCTCGTCTAGATGAATTTGTTAGTTTTTTTTGTTGGTCTTTTAAGTGAAATTTTTAGCTATTATGTTAAATAAAAAATTAATTCAACTTTCATTTCAAATTAAAGACAACATCTCGGTACAACCCTAATAAAAATAAAAACACATACAACAACAATACGATAAAGAAATACGACAACTAAACACATCAACAGATCTACGAGATTACAACCATCAAAACAATATAATCTGGTCCAAGCATCATCATAAGGACATCAACATCATTGTTAACCGCTTTCCAGGAACGAGTTACTCTATTTTGGTTTTTAACCGTAACTTCTCTATCAATTCTCCTGATTTGTTCACGTCAGGAATCTCTCGGTCTAACCAGTTGCTCAAGTACCTCACAAGATGCTTGAAAGTTTGCGTGTTCCCGAGTTTGATCTTCATCTAAGGCTTTATTGGCGAAAAAATAACATAAGCATCTCTACTAAAAAGTGGAAAAGTTGGAAGCGTTAGAAGCATTCTTCCAGACATAGTGAAATGAAGAGATAAGTAGTAAGTTATGTGACTACCAAATGAGAATTGAATGGTATTTATAGAGAAAAAAAAGTAATTAATTTATATTATAAAAACTATTAAAAATCATAAAATAAAATAAAAAACCGGCCTTCACCCACTCGTCCATCCATTGGATGAGAGCATGCAACGAAAATTTGGCCTTCATCCACTCGCTCATCCATTGGGAAAGACCTTGAAGGAGAAAAAGTTCTTTCATCCACTCGTCCATCCATTGGACGAGAGAGTGTTAAAAGTGTGGCAGATTGGTCAATTATTTTCAGAGTGTGGCATATTGGTACTTTTTGTTTTAAAACATGGCACAGCAGTAAAAAAAAATCTGGTTTGAACCCCATTGAACTCATTTTTACTTCTACATATTTCAATCTATTAATCCTATAATTTTTTTTCTAAAAAAATTAATATAATTATAAAAAAAATATTCTAAAAAATACAAAAATAAATAATTACAAATTAATAATATAATTTTAGTTTTTTTATTTTCTAAATAATATAATAATTTATTATTAATAAAATAAAAATTAATTATAAGTTATTAAATAAATATAATTAAAAATGACATGTAATCAATTTGTATACACGTGGCAATGACACATCATTAAATTGATTGCCATATCAATGAAATTGAACCTTAAATTGGAAGGGGACTAAAATCCCCCCAAAAAAATGAAATAGAGAGATTAAAAAACTATATTTTAAAATGAATGGACCAAAACTAAAAAAAATAAATAAGGGGACCAAAATTGCAATCAAGTCTATTTTTTATTATTATTATTTTGATCCACTCATTTTAAAAATTATTTATTTTAGTTTTTTATTTAGTTTTTTTAAGAATTTTAGTCCTCCTTTAAATTTGTCAAATAAATATTAAAATACTTTTTATCCAAATCATGTTTATTTAGGTTAAAAAAAATTTAAAACTGAATCATTTATTTTTAAAAGTAAATGTTAAAAAATTGACATTCATGTTTCATTTCTTCTCAGCGTTCCTTTATTGTTTCGTCTCCAAAAACATGAATCCTAAAATTTGACATTCAACATTCCATTATCGTCTTCTCCATAATATTGACTATTCAACTCAACTTTCGTGCATTCTCAAATAGAGTGTGTCCTCAAGTTTCAGCATGTTTATGATGCTCGACTTTTGTTCATCTTCTTCTAGGTTTTGTTTGTTCGTTCGTCATCCAGATCGTGTCTATTTTATTTGAAATGTCAAACCCATCATATGTACCAACGTAAGTGGTTTTGTCTACAATTATTTTTTTCATTTTTTTGTTCCAAATGGTTGTTGTTGTTTGATTTCAATTTCCCCTAATATTCTATTCTTTTGGTCCTTATTGTCTGAAAGGGTCGTTGTTATGAGTTTTTTATTAACATATGGTCGCTAATGTATTCAATTGTTGTTCTTGTTAGTTTATTGTTGGCATGTGGTCCCTAAAGTAAGTAATGATTATTTTATTATAAAATTATGGTCCCTCATATATGCAATGCTTATTTGTTGAATCTATTTTGTGTAGGCCGACAGAGAAATAAATCGCCATACTTAGAATGCACCATAGGGGACAATTGGTCACTCATCCTGTAAAGTGGTATGTTGGTGAAACATTGTCTGAAATGGATTGGAATTGGGATGTGGACTTAATTTCCAATATGCAAATTGAAAAAATTATAAAAAGTGAAGGTTATGATAATATAAGGTGTATTTGGTATTGGAACTCTAAGTTTTCTTTTGCTCTAGGGCTTAAACCGTTGAATAATGACAAAGATGTTTTAACTTTTATTGAAGATGTTAAAGGGTTTAAGGTAGTTTATATTTATGTTGAACACAATGTTCACATACTTGAAATCATATATGATATGGTTGAACAAGTTAATGTTGAAAAGGTTAATGCTTTGGTTTATGATGTGAATGTGAATGATGATCAAGATAATGTGAATGATATGAATGATGATAAAAAAAAGTGAATGTGAATGTTGTGAGTGATGATCAAGAAAATGTGAATGTGAATGATTTAAATGTGGAGGATGTTGAAGTTGGTGGAAATGCGGAGGATGATGAAAGTAAAACTAATCCTGATTATGAGGAAAGCGGGGAATATGAAGATGAAAGTGAAATTGATCATGATTTAGGTCCCGATGTTAGTGTAGATTCGACAAAAAAATTTCCCAATGAACAAACTAAACATTCTTCCAAACATAATGTTATTTCTAATAAGGAGGGTTGTGATTCAGATGAACTGCACACTCCATCATAAAGTGATATTGAATATGAGATGGAAAGGTTTCCAACTTTTAATGAAAATACTAAATTTAATTTAGGCATGATATCAAATATAAGTTACAAATAAGAGATGCTATAAAAAAATGAAATGGATAATAAGAAGAATAATGTCCTAAAAATGACAAGAAGACAAATATTATAAGATGAATGGAAGGTTGTCTCTTTTATATAAGGTTTAGTATGAGGATTGTCAATCAATTTTGGCAACTTTTTAGCTTCATTGAGGAACATTACTATCATAAGACAACTAAGGATAAACAAGTAGCAATTGATTGGTTAGCTCAAAAACATGTTTATACATTAAGATATTATCCTGATATGCAAATGAAAGATTTGATTGCATAAACCATTCAGAAATGGGGCATGAAGTTGTTGAATGACCAAGCTTACAAATCCAATGGAAAATCAACAAATTTGTATTAAGGTGTTGGTCGTGAACCATTGGATTTAGTGGTATATATTACTCCATGGACAGGGAGTTGTCACACAATATAATTCCTAAAATAAAAAAAAGGTAAGGAAATGAATAACTTACCAAATGTTTGCTATGTTTGATCTGGGATTGATTGTAGTCTAGTGGAGTATAACTTCAGAGATGTGTTATGCTTCAATACAATGGAGTAGAATTTTTTAGAACACTTGAAAAATGCTAGAATAAGAGTATTCCTAAATATCCTCCCAACAAAGGTGTGTGCAACAAGTAATTTGTTTTCTTCTCCATGGTCTAAATGGCTCTATTTTTTAGTCACTTGGATTATTTCACTTTTTCTCATTTGCGAGCTTTCTTCTTCCTGCCTCTTTTTCTTAGATTTGATTTTGTCTTGGGGGAAAATATCGACAACTTTCCTTTTTTGATTAAATCTTCCACAAAATCCTCCAGTTGTACGCATTCTTCTGTGTTTCAGTTTTTCAATGTATAAGTCTTTACAAAAGTAATGGCAAAATAAATATTACTCATATGATGAAAGGGTGTAGTGTGATATCCAAACGGGATACACTAGGCTATCGAGTTTAGGCGTCAAAAGTGTCTCGAACTGGATAAAAAAAGTTTTTATTCCCATGGATGTGTTTAAAATCGGTTATGAACAAATGTACTATGTTAATTAAAATGGGTAGGATATTTGCTCAAAATAAGACAACACACTCACGAACGTGGGTGGTGTACCTCTATTTTTCATTTTTTTTCTATGAATTGAGTTTTATTCTTATAATAAATCATAGTATGCAAGAGGTTGTTATAGACACGAATCATAGATCCTAAGTCTTGTTTTTAAGATTTTATTTTCCAAAAAACAATCAATATTCCAAACCAAACGAAAAGATTGTTTTAGATAAACATAGAATCAGTAGAACTCATTACTCAAAAGTTGGTCTTTGAGGAACAATACTTTTTATTAATTTGATATTATCGTACACTTGTAGAGCATTGGCGATCAATGTCAGACACGTCCCTTGGATATGATAGCCTTCTACTCTAGCTGGTTGGCTTGTGGATTACGGCTAATGTATCCATATTTGCTTGAGTGAATTATGCGATAGTTCGGGTATATGCAGGGTATTCCTAGAGCTCCAATCATGTTTGTTCCTCCCAATATCCTCCATAGAGATGTTGATCAGATATTTGAGGCTTTTTATGATTATTTGGTTGCAGTTAATGTATGTCGTGTGACAGCTTCTAAGCTATGGAGTGTGGTATACAGTTACATCCAATGGTTTTATAGAGTGTCATGTCCTAACATGACATCAGATGTAGAGGGAGATCCATCTAGGGTAGCTAATTAGGAGATATTATAGGAGGAGTGGGATATGGCCGACCATATTATTGATGATTTTCCAATTTGTCAGCGTATTATGACCATTAGGAAAGCGGGCATAAAGAGAGTGAGAGAGAGATATATAGTGTGTGTCTGTGTGTGTGTCTGTGTATGTGTGTGTAAGGGTGTGATATGGTGGGAGAACTGACTTGAGGTTTTACGTTTCGTCACAAATGTTTCAGTTTAGCAAGAGTCGCCACCGACTTTTATTTTATCCAAAAGGAAAGGTAAAAAAGCACAGGAAAGACCTTTGAGATGTTTTCTTGAGTTCGGGGGGGGGGGGGGGGGGGGGGTAGATTATGAAAAGGGAAGGTGCTAGCACCCTTTTCATCCATGGTTTTCCATGGGCTCTTAGTTACTTGCTTAGATCACTTGCTTTGCTTTTTCAATTGTTTGAAATGGTGCTTTGTGTGGTTTTGAAAGTATTTTGAAAAGAGGTCATCGTTTAGGCAATCTTTGTAATGATTCTCGTTCGTAAGAATGTATACAAAGATGTTTGTATTTTAAAAAATGTTTCAATGTTTTTGAAAGTTGTTTTGGAAATGTTATGAAATGTGTGTGTGATTATTTTGAAATTAGCAAGGATTGTTTGGAAGAGAGAAAGTAACTAGGAACTATCTACTGTTGTACCCCAAAATTTGCCCTCCCATTTTCTCAACATTTTCTCATCACAAGGCCCTTGGAGCTCAAGATCCAGTTAGGGTTTCCTCTGCAAGACTTCTCCTAGCACTGTTGACCCAAATTAGTGTTTGTGTTTGCACAAAGATATTTTGACCTAAAATGCCTAAGATGACTTTCATGCTTCATGTTGGACTCTCAAGTTTATCCATACCAAGTTTCAAGCCTTGATTCCAACCTTCGCCCAGTCAATTGGACAGTTGACCTAGAAATCAGCTGTATTGGGGAAAAAGTCAATTGTGGCCAATTGACAGTCAAACCTCATGAAAATTAACCCACATCAACATTATGAACTCATATGGACCATTTGATCAAGTTTGGATCACAATTCCACAAGAAATTTGATCAGATCACCAAAAGGGCAAAATGGTCATTTTTAGGGTTTTGACTGCACAAAGGCAATTTTTGACTGTTTGACCTAGCCAATGGCAAACCAAGCTCACATATGGACTCAAGGACCCCATGGAATTGTCTTGACATACTCAAAAAGTTCAAAAGATCCCAAATGCACAAGATTGACAGTTGAATTTTCCAGTCAATTGATCAATTTTTGATTGTATACTGAAAAGTCAAACTTTGACTTTTTGGTCAAAATCAAGTGTCAAGATTCATTTTTCATCAAAACATGCCAAATCATGAAACTTGTTCATCAAGAAATCCAAAATCACAAATTAGGGTTTGAAATGAAGAATTTTCATAACTTAGAATTTTTCTAAGTTATGAAAAACCCTAATTTTTTCCTAACTTTGTCCCACTTTCTCATCAAGATGCATTTGGATTTAAGGAAAAGTCAAAACATGAAAGTTGTAGTCCATTTCAAAATCTACAACTTTGATTCACAAAGTTTCCTCAAAAGAAGCTTGTAGCTCAAGTTACAAATTTTGGAACAAGGGTACCAAACCATTCTTAACTTAGAGAAATTTTGACCCATTCTAGGCAGGATTTTTGCCTAACTTCAAGACCACTTTTCACATACTTCCACTTGGAATTTCAATTTGTATTACAAAGATGGATTGTAGTACACATTACAAGCTTTCCAAAATGTCCAAGAATTCATCAAACAACCTCATGGTTAGGGAGAATCGAATTTGGCAAGTTGGGAAAAAGTCACTTTGATTCATGGCCATGTACATGTTCATAACTTGTGCAATTTTTCAAATCAGCTTGCACAACTTGATTACAGGTCCTTTATCCCATTTGCACTCAATAATTTAATGCAAACCCCTTGTGTTCAAGCCTTGCATTATGTGTTTAAGCATTACATGAAGGTTTAGTCTTAAAGTAGAAAAAGCATTATATCCATTTTAGAAAAGTTGAACTTTATGTCAAAGTTGCAAATCAAGAAGTACAAGGCCATATCTTTGGGCACAAGTTCAGGAGTTAAACACACTGATCAAGGGGAAAGGTTGCAGCACAATAGAGGGGCCTGTACAAGTCTAAAAACACCAAGTTGATTTTCTTGCTTAAAGGTGAAGTAACTTGGCATAACTTGAACCAACTCTCATTCCAGCAAGAACAAGCTTAAGCAAAGTTGTTGTACACATTCCAAACACCAACCCTGACCTGAAACACGAGCCAACCAAGTTCCAAACATCATCAAACCTCAAAACACCATAAAACTGCAAAAACAGGGCATAGGTTGCAGTTTGAATCCCACAGCTCATTTCCATCGTGCACTTTCATCCAAACCACTTCATACACCTTCCATAACATCCATATAGACTATTCTAAACATTGAACTGAGACTGTAACAGCCATAGCATCATTTGCCATTTTCATTTTTTCTCTCTTACAGGTGGACTTCTGTAGCTCGATTTAGCAAGATTCAAAGCAAACTAAAGGTTGGAATAGCATCCCTGGACCTCAAGAAAGCTGTACCAATCCTCACCTTGCACTGAAAGTGCCTCCATAGCCAGATACGATTCAAGCTGAACAGGTAAGTTCATGAACCCCTATCTCTCTATCCAGGCATAGTTAGGCTTAGGTTTGTGAAGAAATTATGTCATATTCATGGCCTTGAATCTTCCCATATCATTACTTTTCATTTATGTTATGTGTACTTAGAGAATTTTGAGTCTGAACATTGAACAAAAACTAGGTCAGGAATTGGGGGAGAAGAAATTCTCTCTCATTTCTGAGAGTTAGATTGACTTCTTTATATGTCTAGAATTGTGGCTTCAAGCTCTACAGGTTTCATGTTTCAAGATTTGGCAAAGGATCAAAGAATTAGGAGTTAGAGAGATGGGCAAAAGGGCGCGCGTTTTTGAACGTTTTTGTTGTCTGGAGGTTGAAGACAACCTCTATGGGCTGGGCCTGTGACCTTTTTACTCTTTGCACCATGTTTTTACATTTGAACCCCCCTGGCCCATTTTGAGATATACTTGTTATTTTCCATTTTTTTCTTTTTGATTTTGTTTCCATATTTTTATTTAAGTCATAAAAAAACATTAAAAAACTTTTTTTTCATATTTTTTGCATTTAT